TCAACAATTGATTTCATTTTAGAGTTTTAAATTATTGTTTTGCTTACTAATTTCATTACAATCATAAAAGTTGCATAAGTAGGATTTTCTTTCCAATTTTAGAGTTTTAATTAGGTCCACATTCATTTTGAGTAATTTGATTTCGGTTAAGGTCGAATAAGTAAAATTGAACTAACCAATCTCTGTGGGACGAAACTCGGACTCATTGAATCCACTTTATTACCTGTTAACGAACCGTACACTTGCGATAATTTAAATCGAAAGAAAATATTTCGCGAACAGAGCATAAGATGTAGATCTGAAAGGTGACCTTTTTCTTGTTTTAACTTGGGCTCTTTTACTGGAAGGAGAGAAAAGGGAATAAAAAGAGACTACAATGTATAATTAAGGAATCCAAAAAACGCAGGACTTACTCGTTACTATGCCAATCCTCCCGAGCCTTCAATTCATTTGATGAGTACAATTAGATAAGATAATGAAAATTGAACATCAATAAGTCAAACGGCCACAATTAAGTTTAATAAAACCTATTCCGTTTCAACAAGAAAATCTTATATTATTTGTAATTCAGTGCTGTAATGTGATTCCTCAACAAAAACTCCGTGGGAAATGCACGAAATCTATATAATTAATGTAAAATTGGGATAAATCTATTCATAAGTTCAGAATCCAAACGCAATTGATTCTGCCAGCTTTACATGAATTAATTATTATAACAATATAGTTTCTTTTACCACAATCCTTTTTTGGAATAATTAGTGTGTATCCACCATAATCTATTCCTTCCGTCAACACTCAACACAAAGCAAAAACAATAATTAAAAAAAAAAAAAAGAAAAGAAACAAAAATAGGGCTAACGCCATACAGAAGAATTGAACAGGGCCAAAAATTAAAAGGCGCTTGCCAACTCGGCGACTCACGAAGAGGTCCGTGACACTGTCAATCCATCTCCATCACCCCCAAGAACTGGCACCCACAACTCGACAATTGACACTCACAACTCATCGACCATCGCGACTCGCCACAGGTTCTGCGGCTTCTGCACTTCTGCTCTCGCCTCTAGTCACTTCGTCTCCCGATGATTTTAGTTTGGGAATTCCATTTGGTTCTGGCTCTTCCCCTGCCCATTACCGAGAGCATGGTACGAAACTAAATCGGGGCTTAAAGAAAGAGGAGAGGAAGAGGAAACATGAGATTAGATGAAATGGGACGAGAGAGAGATGCGCAGTGGCTCCATCTGGTTTCTTGCCCTAATTGAGAGAGGCTTTTGTTTTATATTAGGATCTAACGATTGTTATTGGATGTTGATAATCTATGGTTTAGATCTATTCCAACTTAGGGGAATTTTTTAAATTAGTTTATTTATTTTCTTTATATCAACGAACGGCAATGTTCGTTTGAACGTTGCTAAAACCTCTAATGGAAATATTCATTGAACGTTGCCAAAACTGATTAGCGGCAATGTTCAATAAACGTTGCTAAAATTGATTAACGACAACGTTCATATGAACGTTGGCAAAACCGATTAACGGCAACGTTTATTGAACGTTGCTAAAACTAATAATAGCAACGTTCTTTGAACGTTGCTGAAACTCTATAGCAATGCGCATTAGTCGTTGCAAAAAAAAAAAAAAAAAAAAAAAAAAAACAAAAAAAGGAAAAAAAAAAAAAAAAAAAAGTAACAACAACGGTCTATGAACGTTGTAAAAGGGTGTTTTAGCAACATTCATTAAAAAAACGTTGTCAAATCTTAATTAGGTCAACTAATGGCGACATACACTTGCCGAATGTTGCAATTGACCCCTTTTAGCAACATGCAATTGATGAATACTGCCTTTTACATGTTACAAAAGCCCTTTTTTCTTGTAATGCTAATTTGTAATTCACTTGTTAATCACAATGCACACGATTGTATCTTTGTATCTAAAATGAAAATAAAACACAAACACAAAAACGCCAAATAATGTAACAGCTCATGATAACATTTATTCTCTAAATATAGAAGAAGACTGAACTTTAAAGGGAAACAAAACACAAATCTCCAATACATGAAATTAATGCTCTAATTAAGACAGACATCTATCCTTTATTTGTTCAAACATTATTCAAACCAGTCCCCGCAAGAAAGAAAAAAGAAAAAATATATTTATTGAGCAATACAATAGCTTGAAGATAGTGGTATGTGTGTGTAAATGTATGAAGCTGTTTTCTGTCATTAATACGAACGGAAGTAAGGCCAAACGGCAAACTTCATCATCCCATTTTTGCAATGAAATCCGTTGCGTTCACCACAAGCAAAATAATAAGGCTGCCATCTCTTAAGCACAAACTCAAAACCTTCTCCTGCTCCTTGCGTCACATGTGCAATCTTCTGTGCTCTTCTCAAATCACAGTTTTGGAAACTCCATAAATTTGGCAGCAGGTAAACACTGTGAGGAAATGTAGTGTCATTTGGGGGATCAAACTTGAATACTGCACGCGTGAGACAGATCAATATCAGTCTTTTAGATATTGGAAACAAGCATAAAGATATAAACCTTTTAATTTGGACTTGTTCTTCGAAAATATTCTAACATTGTACGCGTTAAATAAATGACATCTAATTTAAAACGTAACTCGACAATGAATTGTTAACGTACCGAGTGTGTCATTCAAGTAAAAGGGACCATTTTTGATAGCCCAATCAGTATAATTAAACCCGAAACGCCAATTCTCGGAACCACCAACTATTATTCTTTTCGAAGTTTGATCTGCTTTCCAGTGTCCATAAGGCCAGCCAGTAGTGTGATACCAGTTTCCATTCCAATCTGCACTGAAATTCTTGTTGGCCATTCCAATGCCAAACATGGATATGGCTACAAGAATCAGAAGGGCTCCTGCTTTTCTCAAACCCATGTTATTTTTTCCTTTCTGGTAAATATACTTTAATGATAGTTTACGGGAGTTAATTTGGTTGTGATGGCATTTTATAGTAAACGTTTGTAGGAATTAAGTCAAAATACATGTAAGTTGGCAGAAATCAGA